ATTCCTTGTGCCATGGGTCCTATTTATGTCTTTCTTGCTGCTCTTAGAATTGCTTTTTTTTTTCAATCAGTTATTTTCTTGTGTCTGTTCCTTTGCTTTCTTCTTCTAGACTGCCTACTTTTGTACACTGGTTGTATAGATTACCGGTTTTGTACTTTTAAAATCCCCAAATTTCTGAGAAATAATTGTCTGAGCTTGTTTCTACTATCTCATCACCCATGTCTTCTTTAATTCCTTATATCATTTTCCCCTTTCTGCTATTATTTTTGCCTTTGAGAATGTTTCTGTGTTTTCACTAAGTTAAAAAGACTTTTCTGAATCACTTCATATGAACACCATCAGGCCCCTTTTTCTAGAATACTTTCTTCTGCACTATCTTGATTTTCCGTCTACTCTCTAACCAATCCTTTCCTCTTTTCCCTTCTTTCTTTTGTTGGTTAAATGTGACTGCAAAATGAAGTTTCACTTCACTTATTCTTTGTTAGTATCACAGTTACTACCACTCCTTCCATTGTCTTCTCTGCAGTGATTTCTAAATCCGAATCTTTAGCTTTACCTTCAGCTGAGCTCTAGACTCAATTTCCTCTTGTTTGGTGCTTGTATCCAGTGGAACTCATCAGCTCATCATCGCCTTCATTCCAAACCAAGTGCGTTATACTGAAGTCCATATTTCAGATGATGATGATAATAACTAGTCACCTATTAACCTAGATTTGAAAAACTTGTGTTCATTTACTTCATTTCATTGTTCTTCTTAATCTCTTTTTGATTATGTTTTATGTAAACAGGAAGATAATTTTTTCTGACATTTTCTTTGGAGTCCCATGTGTACCTTCACCTGCAGTACTATAACTCTGAAGGCACCTATGTGTTTTCCGTTGCAGCTGCCATCAGGTTATTTTTATCTCTCTCCTAAATATTTACCGTTGATATTCTTCCCTTTTGTTTCTCCTCCCTCCAAATTAATCTTTCTGGAGGGCGTTATTGTAATGCCTCTCAGTCCAAAAATCTTCAGGGACTTTTCATGGTCTTCAAGCTTAAATATAAATCCATTACTCTAGATTTCTTTAATATTATTTTGTATTTAAAATAGTGGCCATGTTTTTATTTTAAAAGTGATTTTTATTTTGAAGACTTTAAGCAATATGTACACCCGCCTAGCCAACCAGATCAGCTGAATTAACCCTGGGATCAATGGGGTAACAGACGTTGCAGCCAGATTGCCGTCACATCCAAGTTACTAATTATGAATGAGCAAATAATGTGGTTTCTTGAGATGGAATCTTCCTAATGAAGATACTGTGAACATTGTTGAAATAAATTATTTAGAATATTCCATCAAATCAAGTGATAAAGCAGTAGCAGGTTTTGAGAGCATTGACTCCAATTTTGAAAGACGCTCTACTATGGGTAAAATGCTATCAAACAGCATCACATGCTACAGCGAAATCTTTGAGGAAAGGAAGCGTCCGTAAATGTGGCAAACTTCACTGTTGTCTAGAAATTGCCACAGCCACTTCAGCCTTCAGCAGCCACCACCCTGATCAGTCAGTAGCCATCAACATCAAGGTAAGACTCTCCACCAGAAAAAAAGATTGTAACTTGCTAACGGCTTAGATGTTCGTTAGCATTTTTTTAGAAAAAGTGTTTTAGAATTAAGGTGTGTACAGTATTTAGACATAATGCTGTTGCACAATTAATAGGCCATAGTATTGTATAAAAATAACTTTAATATGCACTGGGACATTTGATAATTTGTGTGACTTCCTTTATTGTGATACTCAGTTTACTGTGGTGGGCTGCAACCGAACTTGTAATATCTTTGAGGTATGCCTGTACATGTTCAGTACAAACACAATCACCCATTAAAAAATTTTTTTTGATCTATGGTTGGTTGAATCCATGGATGCAGAACCCCATGGATATTGAGGGCTGCTTATATATGTATTGTCCGTGATTTCAGGCATCCACTGGGGGTCTTGGAATGTATTCCCTGTGCATAAGGAAGGACTACTGTATGTTGTTTTATCATCTTTTCTTTGCTTCTTTAAATTCATGTTTTTGTCAAATTCTTCAGTGTCGTCAAGTTTGTCTAATGAATTTTCTGCTGTTTCTTAGGTTGTCATTATTATTATTTTTTGAGACGGAGTCTTGCTCTGTCACCCAGGCTGGAGTGTAGTGGCACAGTCTCGGCTCATTGCAACCTCTGCATCCCAAGTTCAAGCGATTCTTCTGCTTCAGCCTCCCAAGTAGCTGGGATTATAGGTGCACGCTGCTATGCCTGGCTAAGTTTTTTTTTTTTTTGTATTTTAGTAGAGACGGGGTTTCGCTATGTTGCCCAGACTGGTTTCCTGGGCTAGGCTGAACTCCTGAGCTCAGGCAGTCTGCCCACCTCGGCCTCCAAAGTGTTGGGATTACAGGCGTGAGCCCCTGTGTCCAGTCATAGGTTATTATTTTCTTCCAAATTGTTGCTGTTGTTTTAAATGAGATAGGTTCTCGCTCTGTTGCTTAAGCTGGAGTGTAGAGGCACAATCATGGCTCTCTGCAGCCTCCAACTCCAGGGTTGAAGCAATCCTCCCATTTCAGCCTCCCAAGTAACTCGGACTGTAGTTGCACATCACTACACCTGGCTAAAAAGTGTATACATTTAATAGAGACAGTCGTTCTATGTTGCTCAGGCTGATCTTGAACTCCTGGGCTCCAACGATCCTCCTGCCCTGCCTTGCCCTCCTAAAGTGCTGGGATTACAGGCATGAACCTCTGCACCCTGCCAAGATTGAGTTGTTTAATCTGCTTTTGCATACTCTCTCCCTTCTGAGTTTTATTTTATTGTAAAAATTTGCTTAGTGTATTAGGTCCCATTACTTTTTCTTTCATCTTGATTATGTTTAATATGTGTGCCCTGATATAGTCTGAATAAACTTTCCTTGATCATATTTGTTTATCTTGTATTTTTTATTTTTATATATTTTTTGAGACAGAGTCTCACACTGTCATCCAGGCTGGAGGCAGTGGCACAATCTCGGCTCACTGCAACCTCCGTCTCCTAAGTTCAAGCAATTCTCTTCCTCAGCCTCCCGAGTAGCTGGGACTACAGGTGCCCACCACCACACCCGTCTAAGTTTTGTATTTTTAGTAGAAACGGGGTTTCACCATCTTGGCCAGGCTGGTCTTGAACTCCTAACCTCATGAGCTGCCCACCTTGGCCTCCCAAAGTGTTGGGATTAAAGGTGTAGCCACCGCACCCAGCCTGTCTTGTGTTTTGAGTATTTTGAGTACAGGTTGAAGGAGGTTTCTGTGATTTAATCTACTTATTAAAGTGCTTATAAAAGTGATATCATGGCATGGAGATTGGGAAAGCTTAGTTGGATCTGTATTCAGACTTGTCTGAGATTTCTGAAATATCTGAACATAGGTTTTACTCCATCCAGCATGGATTTCTGCAGTCTGTGGCTGTCAAAGAGAGTTGTCTGTAGTGTTCACTTCCCTACTTCACTCTACCATTTTAACTGTAGCCTACCCTCCCTCTGGATTTCAGGAATAAGAGGTTTGATCCCACCTAATTTTTTAGCTTTATCATTAGCTATTCTTTACTCATAAAATCTGTACTTTCTAGCAAAACTTGACTGCCAAGAATCAATATATGTGAACCTAAGTATGCAATGTATAGTTTAGTACTTTGTACCTAATTGTCACTCATTCAATATATGTTGAAGAAAAATAATTTGTTGTTTATTTTACATTTTGTCCTTTCCAACTCATTAGAATAACGTGAGCATATCTGTTTCAATGTATGTGTAGTTTGTGTAGTTGCAAATTACAATGTTATTAAGTAGAACTTTATAAGATGGTCTCTATAAGAATTTAAAATTGTTCCTTCACCTAAAAATATTTTCAGTGGCAGACCTCTAAATCATTTCTTTCTAAGGCCTGTGGATTTTTTATACACACTGGATAATTTTCCACTTTGAGGTAAATATTGAAAAAAAACCCCATAATTCTTTCATTTTTTTGGTTCCACACCTTACCACTGGTTCATGTTATCATATAGACTGTTGTTAGATTTCTTATTTTTGTAATGTGCCCTAGAATTAACTTCATCTGAACCTTACCTTCTTTGTTTTTTAAAGGTAAATGAAATTGCCTTTATAAATACCCTTGAAGCCCAGAACAAACGCCATGATGTTTTATCAAAATTGAAGGAATATGAACAGAGGCTGAATGAGCTACAGGAAGAGCGTCAGAGAAGACAGGAAGAAAAGCAAGCACGTGATGAAGCTGTGCAGGTAGAATTTCATTTAGCAATGTTGATTGAGCACCTGTCATATTTTAGACTTAAAGCCACTTGCTGAGGACCCAAAATAGAGTAACCTAGTGTTTGTTCCCAAAGGTGCATGGTTTAATATAGCACTCTAGAAACATAAAGTCTGATTTCTAAAGGAGAGTGTGTTCTCCTTCCGTTACGGCAGTCAGTTCTTTAATCAGCAGACTGTAGTCACAGCAGTAGAATAGTTAGCTTCAACCAGGTGAAGGACTAAATTGCTCTGGATAGGTTATTATCTATTATTTTCTAATTGGGCTGGGCAAGAATATGGTCCTCTCCCAACAGTGAAAACAAAGGTTGTTTTTGAATCAGTATATATAACCTCAATGTTTATGCCTATAATGAGGCAAATTTAGGGTAATTTTTATGCCTACAATAAGGGGCATCTGTTATTTTTTAGACATTATCATCAGATACCATAATTAGATTTTAACCTCTACAGCAAACCCTACCTTTGCAACCATTTTCAAGATGAGGAAAAGGTTAATGCATAAACTGTACTGCTATTTATAATCTATTTTAGATCTCCCTCAGTAAAATACCTTAACCATAGAGTCTTTAAAGACGACATATTTTTTGATGTAGAGAACAAATTTTGCAGTATTTAAATATAAATTCACACATGCTGTGTTTATTGTTTATTTGTTCCTTCAGTGATCATTTCATTGAATTACTGCAAGTCATATGTTAGGCTCAAAGATATGAAAAATATACATCTGTGTTCTCAATGGGGAGACGTATATGTACATAAAGAAGTTTAGGAAAAATGCTGTGCTAAACGCATTGTCAGCAGCACAAAAGACAACACCTTATTTATATGGAGAGTAGAGGGAACATGAAAAAAGTCAAGAAAAGTTATTGGGTAGAGGTGACATTTTTACTACGTTTTCAAAAATGAAACATACAAGTGATAAGTTGTGATATGGGAGGGCATTTCATGCAGAAGGAGATATGAGGAAGCAGTGAATGTAGAGTTAGGGTGCAGCAGGTCATGAAAAGCTTTGTAGGTATGTTAAAAATTGTGAGTGTTGTATTTCATGTGTCTTGTTGTCAGTGATTTTAGTAAATTAAAATATTAATACATTTTAAGTTTGTTGATCACCTTTTGCTATTTGTGGGCATTAACAGGCATTCCCATATTCATCCTGATCACTGTTTGAGTCCAATGTACTATTTTAAAGAATGCAAAGCTGACTTCATGTTTAAAAACACAGAATGCTCCTGTTAGAGACACTAGTTTTTCCACTCCAAGAAGCAGTAAAAATTTTCATTTTTATCATTTATAAGCTATTTATTAGCTTGTATTCTTAAATGAGTAAAAAAATATAATGTTTAATTTGAATCTTCTCTTTAACATTGTTTCTGTTTTTTATAGGATAAATGCTATAAATGTCTGTAGAGAAACAGAAATACAGATAAAAATAATTATGGTTTGTAAGTTGTGTGTTACTTTAATAACAATTCAGCGATATAAATAAGACATTTTTGCCTTTTATAGTAAATAATAAACTGTTTAATGTGAAAGAGAGTAATAAGAGTATATACAAGGTACAAAGGTACTGCAGAGGAGGGAATAATTAGCTTGATTGGTAGAAGTAGAATTCCAGGGAAGGTTCTCTGGAAAAGGTAACTTCCTAGCTGTTTTTTTTTTTTTTTTTTTTTTTTTGGTGGGGGATATTTGAGTAGTATTGTATATTTTTAAATAGACATCTTTGGTCCCTTTCTCTGCCTTTTGCAGATTTGAAATATAACAGTTATCTTTCATGTAAAAATGATGGCTCTCCACAGTTTGTAATATTCACTAAAACTTAAAGGAAAACAGTTTACTTATCTAGTAAGGAATCTCCTCTACCAACCAACACTTTAAGAACTGTTTTGACTCTTGAATTATTTTTGTTTTTGAAAGTGCTGAAATTTCCTATGGATTTAATTTCAATGAAAAATTTTAAACCTGTCTACATATGCTTGAGATACACCGAGATAGATAATTAGAATCCACTGGTAGATAACATATGTAACATTAAAATTATAAAAATGTGCAGTCATTACATGCTGTATGACATTACAGGCACTAATGCCAAGCATTCTGTAAATACAATAATAGTAAGATCCTAACCTAATAAAGAATTTCAAAGACCATCCATTTTATTCTTACTCTTTATTCTTTATTGATTAATTATAAGCTCTTTTTTTTTTTTTTT